CACTTGAAGAATTTTTGTCTTTAAGACATTGGGCTTGATGGCTCCAAAGATCCTAGTGCCCAAGGGACAGGTACTTTCCCCAGATAACCCAGTCACAGCTTCATTAATCAGGAAGCTGATGCTCCTTGGCCTGTATAAGGCCACACACTGAGGATGGTAGGGTGAAACCTTGGTCCTTTTGAAAAAGTCTGCTGGTATTCTCCAATATCCATTTCCCTTCTGTCTTTAGTATTAAACCTCCCAAATTTTAGTTAAATCCATGATGTATTTATCAACTAGGTGGGGTATGTACTGGTCAATAATATTTGAGTGAAGTGATACGTGCAACTTTTCGGTTGTACCCTTAGAATGGATATATCCACTTCTTATTTTTCTTCCCTTCTATCTGTCTAGAATGAGAATATGAATGCTTAAGCAGACATCTTTGATTATGTGGTGGACATTCCAGATTAAGGGTGGATTAAAATATAAAGAACTTGGATTCCTTGATGTTTTGAGGCCACCATATTAGCCCTGGATGGCTTATACTCAGATTATTTCATGAGAGGAAAATAAGTATCTGTCTTAAGCCACTATAAAAATTTTTTACAGCAGCCAAATCATTATTCTAACTAATATAATCTATGATGACATTGAGCTGATGAATGTACCACCATAGAACCAACCTATCTTCAAAAAATTGTGACAGTAAATGTCCTTTTTATTTAAGTCATTTTGAATTACAGACAAAAGCATTCTAATTGATAAACTTTTCCAAGATTGCTAGTTACAGAGGGAAGGAGTGAGTTGGATCATCAACTATTGAGAAAGTCCTGATTGAGAGAGCTCTTTTCTTAAGATTGAGGAAATGAGAATGGTGAAGGAACCAATGGAAGAAAAAATAATTGAGGATACAGAAGGAGAGGAATAATTTATGGAGTAATATCCCAGAGGAGTCAGGAAGAGAGAGGATCTATAGTACTAAAGTACAAATACCTTTTCATCTTTTTTTCTGTTTTAAAATAAACTTGACCTTGACTTTTTAAAAACAGCCTTATTGAGATACAATTCACATACCGTATAATTTACCAATTTAAATTATGTAACTCAGTGATTTTTAGTATATTTACAGAGCTGAACAGAATTGATTTCACAATCAATTTTAAAACATTTAATCACCCCAAAGAAATATTCAGTAGCAGTCACTCTCCAGTTTCTCCCTAACTTCCCACCTACCCTCTCTAGGCCCAGGCAACCTTTAATCTATTATCTCCATAGATTTGCCAATTCTGTGCATTTTACATAAATGAAATCATACAATATGTGGTATTTGTGATTGGCTTCTTTCAGTTAGGATAATGTTTTCAAAGTCTATCCATGGTATAATATTTACCACTACTTCATTCCTTTTTATGGCCAAATGATATTCCATTTATGGATGTACCCCATTTTGTTTAGCCATACATCAGTAATTGGCATTTAGGTTGTTTCTACCTTTTAATTACTATGAACAATGCTGTTATGAACAGTCCTGTCCAAGTTTTTGTGTGAACATATGGTTTCATTTCTTTGAGTATGTATCTGTGAGTGGAATTGCTGGGCCATATGGTAACTCTATGTTTAACTTTTTGAGAAGCTGTCAGACTGTTTTCCAAAGTGGCTGCACCACTTTATATTCCCACCAGCAGTGACAGTTTCTCCACATTCTCACCAACACATATAATTGTCCATCTTTTTAATTATAATCATCCTAGTATGTATGAAGTGATATCTCATTGTAGTTTTGATTTGCATTTCCTAAGTGACTAAAAATGTTAAATCATCTTTTCATGTGCTTGTTGGTCATTTGTGTCTTCTGTGGAAAAATATCTATTTAGATCAATTTTTACTGTGTCATACTGATATCTCAGATTCCAGTTCAACACCACAGGGTTCATTCTGAACTTCCCCTTTCCTTACTATAACTTTATCTTCAAAAGCAAGAAATCTGGCCCTGATAAGGCACCAGGTATTTGTTAAATCCTATTGCATACATAAGTAATTTCAGAATTGCTAACCTATGTGTGTCCTGGGAGAAAATTAAACTATGAACGAAAGAACAATACTTGGGTACAGTTTTTGACTTTAGTTTTATAGTATATGATCAAAATGCTATTTTCCAAAGCTGCTCAAGGTTTAGAAAACCCTTCAGTGTAGTTATGTTATTAACCTGAAATATAGTTAGGTTCACTTTTTTTTTTTTACTGTTTGTAATTCCATTTTGAGTTCCTTCTAACCCTCGTCCCCCATATCCTGATTGATTTTTAGCTATTTATTTATTTTGGAGAATGTGAAACATTACTATTGCTCTAATAGTCAGGGCTATATAAAAAAGAAAGGTTAATTTGGAGAAGTGTCATTCCTCCTAATCCCTACTACCCTGTTCCCATACACTTATTGCTTTTATCTTTTTCCCACCCATCTCCTGGGTAACTGATCTCATTGGTTTCTGGTTTCTTTTTCTTTTTTTTTTTTGTACAGATGAGCCAGATGCATTTATATTTTTATATCCTTTTCTTTCTTACAGGATGGGTAAAGTCTTTGTGCTTTGGTTTTTTTTTCCATTTAACAGTATAGTCTAGAAATCAGTATGTATCAGTTTATAAAGATCTATATTCTTTTTTTTATAGCTGTATAGTATTACATTGTGCAGATGTATTACAATGTATTCAACCACTCTCCTATATATGGGCATTTAGGTTTTTTCCAATACTTTGCAATTACAAAAAATGCTGTAATAAATTGCTCTGTGTGTATATATTTTCACACTGTTGGCAGTATTTCTTTAGAGTAGATTAAACTTACAGTTTATGGTTTTAAAATATATATATATTCTAACAATGTCCGCTGAAAGAATCTTCAAACAGTGAAACTCCAGCTAGCAATGACCACAGCTAGCACCCAGATCTTGGTTTCTAAATACCTTTTCTCATTAAAAGCAGCCAGAGTTTCTTGGAGGAGTGGTTAATCCTAGTTCTGAGGCAGAGAAAAAAATATAAGGGAAACTTGAAATGTTTTCTTGTGCCAGAAAACAAGGAAAATGACCAAAGAAATAGGACATGTTAAAAAAGAAAAAAGGAAAAAAAAAACCCACTGGTGTTAACCTGAAGGAGCAACCATTGGCCAAATTGAGGGCAATTTGTGGATTAAAAAGAATAATGATGGTAAATAATACAATAATGTTTTTTAGATTTCATAAATCCATAGTGGTACTCAACAAAGTTGGGAGAGGAAATGTCAGCTACTAAATGTAAAATGTAAAAGAAGTGGTATAATTATTTTAAAAGCACCATTTTAAAATCACTAATATAAAGTTGATTCAGGCAAGGATATCAGTGGATGTTAAAAACCATTGGGTGAGAAGTTCTTGGCTGAGATATTCAGAGTCTCAAGTATTATCTCACAGATTACTTATTAATTATGAAGGAGAAAGTTTTTTTCAAATAAAATTTTCAATTTGAAATAGATTTTGAATTACATATATAACTTTTGAGGATGGAATCTACTATACTCTTTTTTAATGGGGTTCCCCTGAAAGGGATTATCAGGCTGGAATATAAACTGAGAATTATAGTAAACAAATACAGGAAGAGCAGAATAGCCTTCTTTTCTATGAATATGGTTTGTAGGTACAGCATGAGATAACATCTGTCTTCCTATGTTACTTCCTTAGTGTCTAGGAAATGTAACTCGACTGAACATAGTCCCCTTTAAAACCATAATGTAAACTTGTAAACAATGTAATGGTTTACAGTGTTCTGAGGTCACAGAACCATTAACTGAAATATGGAATACATAAGTTTTGGCAGTGATGAGTGGGTTTGGTTTTTGACATATTGATTTTGAAGTGTCATTAGGAAAAGAAAGTGAAGATGACCTCAGGCAGTTATAAAGTCAGCTCTGGAAGGATGATTTTCTCTCCTTAAGAGAGCTTAAGGCTAGAAGAATAGATTTGGGAATCAACAGCATGGAGGTCCTATCTGAAGCCATCCATCTATGAGGGAACATAGAGTGAAGAGTTGCTTATCATGAGGAATAAACAGAGATCAGGAATCTGGTAATTAAGAGGCTAGCAGTAATCTCCTAGGTGGAACTGATCTGTGTAGAGTGTGGGTAATAACCAAATGCAGGAGAAAACTGTGTGAGGAGGTGAGGAATGGGATGATGGTATCTTGAGAGTCAAGTAGCATGAAGGGACAGTGTTTCTAGGACACTGAAAATTTAAGTTCATAGGTAAAGAAGAAGCCAGTGAAAAGGGAGAGATTGAGAATAGTTTTATTTTCTTAAGTATTTATTGCCTTTTGCTTTCCATTCAAAATTGCCTGCAACCTTTGTTACTGCAAAGACTCTCCCTGACTATGTAGTATGACTACTTAGAATATTTGCCAATATAACTCCAGACTATATCTCTGCAAATCTAGTGTGAAATTTTGCCCACTAGACATGGAGTTAGTTACACATTATGCTGAATCTCTAGCTTTCATTTATCTTGATCTTCTTAATCTAAATTTTGTTATCCTAATTTTAAAAGATAGGCCTGTTCAGTATACAGTACAAAAATGGACAACACCCTCTTTACTAATATGACCTTGCTTTTACATTATGGGGGAAATGGTGCCTGGTAGATAAATGAAGATTATTAAAAATTTTTTGGCTGTATAAATATTGCCAGCGTGTTTATACAAATATGTAACTGTTCTAGGAAACAGGTATTTGAACATCTAGTATCATACAGTATATTGGTTTGTGTATTTCCGTGACCGTATAAAAATTCTTTGAGGGTGTGTAAGGGGGTGCTGTTTATTTGTGTGTGTTTTCCAGTGAAAATGTTGCAGTACGTCGTCTGTCACTGTCTTCGGGCTATGGGGGTGGGCTGAGATAGGGAGGGTGTGACGCTGGTATTTGTGTGAACTCAGGCTTGTGATGCTGAGCTTGGTTCATCCGCTTTCTCCTCCCTTCTCCTCCCTACTCCTTCCCACCAGCGCCACAGCAACATCCTCAGAGTCTGAGCGAACTGCGCCCAGCGCGGGCACAGAGCCTCCCACCGCCGGCAACCTGCGGCCCGGGAGAAGAGCGAGCGCAGTGACAGCGCCCCACCGCCGCCAGTCCCCGGACCACCATGGCCAAGAACCGTAGGGACAGAAACAGTTGGGGTGAGTAGCATGGTGACTTCTGCAGACCGCCCTCCGCTTTCTGCTTCTGGAGAAAACGAGGGCCAAGGGCTGCTCGGCGCCAGCATCCAGCGCTGGGAGACGGCCACAGCCGAGCTGCTCCCTGTCGGGCGGGAGGAACCGTGACCGAGGGGTACCGGTGGAACCGGCGTCGCGCTATGGGGGCCAGGGCCGCAGCTACGCGCAGGCCGGAGACTCTTGCTTCTCACCCGCCCCCGCCCCCAGCCCAGTCTTCCGCCTCCCAGCATTTGGACAGCACCCACTTGGTTGCCTCCGGGGTACTCGTTGGTTCCGCTTTAGCGGTAGGTTGGCAGAGAGGCGAAGAAGGTGGGCAGGGGGCTGTAGTTACCTGGCCCAGTGGGGTGAGGGACGAGGGTCAGAGATCCCCAACCCTCTTCCCTGGGAGCTGCGAGCTCGCGGGCCTGGCAGGGCGCGGACTCCCGGCGGGCGGGCGGGCGGGCTGGCAGTGTTTGAACAATGAGGCAGAGCGCGCTGGGCCCGGGTCCGAGCATTGCAGACCTGAGCAGCCTCGGAGAAGGGGCAGCCACTTGGGAATCCCCCAGCGCTGCAGTACTCGTTTTAATTTGGGGGTTGGATGGGAGATTTGGGAAGAAGGGAAGCAAAGTTGTGGTTTCCAGCCTTCTGCCCCACCCCAACCTGGTACCCAATTCAGGCCAGCCCAAGGGTGGCATTGTTCTTAGATTTTACCTTTTGGAGATATTGGGCTCATGATTCAGCACCAGGCCGAGGGGAGGGGGGAGGAGAGGCTAGGCCCAGTGGGTTCATGCCGCGAGTGGGTGGGCGGCGCTCACGCAGGCGGAGAAGAGAGAGCACAGTGATGCAGGAGAAATCAAAGCCCCGCCCGCTCTGCTGCTCCAGACTCTGTTGAGGACGATTAGTGTGGGCAGGTTGGGCGTCTTTTCCCTCTTTGGACTCCCGACTTCTTCCAGTCACAATGCTAAACTCACTGCCATCTTAGGGCGTTTTATTATCTGCACCAGAGCAGATCTCAGACCTCTGTGGCTTAGTAAGCAGAGAAAGATTTTGTTCATTAGCTTTGAATTGTTACTTGGAAAGTTTACATCTGCTTGAAGTTCAAAGCTCCTTGATTGATTCTCTTCCCTGTCTCATAGAGATCTCTTCTGTAACTGTCCATCAGAGTAAGAGATATAAATTTAAATTTAAATTGGTTATTTTGGTTATCTTTTGTGAAAATTGGTTATCTTTTATCAAAAGATCGTATTTGTCCTTGCCTCTGATTGGTCACAGCACCAACTTAATCCCAAGTAGGCCAAGTTTACATCCGAGAGATTATCCAAGGTTTATGGTAGACGTGGGGAGTTGGAGCAGGGAGGCCTTTCATTGTCCGAGTTTAAGAGAAAGCAATTCCATTTTCTGTTATCACCAAATCTCAATTTTAGTAGGCGTGACTACTGTAATAACACCATTTTCTTTGGTTCTCCTGAAATACAGGTAAACTTTTTTAGAGTGTTCACTTTCCTTCCTTTCTCTTGGGCTCTAGAATAGGAATTTCTTAAATGCTTACAGTTAAGATGTGTATGTTCAAGTCAACTTTGGTCTTAATCTCTGTGCACTATTGATTCAAACCCTGTTAAGAGACAGGCATGTGAAAATTTATTCTGAGTATTTAAATTTTCCTCCTTCACAAGCTTTGGATCGTCATTCTTCAGTATTTCCTTTGGTTACAGATTTCTTATGTAGTGGAGGTTTTTTCTTCCTCTGAGAATGTGGTTCTCAAGTGAGATTTGCATAAAAATCACATTGGGAACTTATTAGAAATGCAGACTCCCACATCTTCCAGCTTGAGCTTTTGAATCAATGGGTCTGCAGTAGGGTCTAGGAATCTGCCTTTTAATTAGCATTCTAGGTGATTGAGAAGCAGATAGTCTTTGGATGTTACTTTCAGAAACACTATCTTAGATTATTTACATTTGTTAGAAACATATCCCAGATAGTTTACCCAGAAGTCATCAAAAGAGTTTTGAGTCAAGTGATGATTAAGAAAAGAAATTCCACAGTCACTGTGTGTTCACTGGAAGTCTTACAGAAAAGAAATAGCGGAATTATGGAGTCTTACCTTGATGCTCTATGGAAGCACTTTACTACTCAGATTTTTCTTTGCTGTAAAGTATATGTAACATAAATGACTTAGGAAAAAATATAGCATGTGGAGTAAGAGATAGAGGTTTTTGGCAAAGATATTAGTCGTGTCTGTCTTGATTCCATTTTAATACCAGCACCTGGTGCAATGCCCAACATATAATAGGCATTTAATAATAGCAATAATAACTAACATCATTGAACTAATATTGTATGAAGTCGGGATTAAAATCCTCATTTTACATTATTAAAAGGTAAATAATAGGTCTGGGACTCCAACTCTGGTAGTCTGACTTCAGATTCTTTTATCATCACCAGTATTTTGTTGAATGGATAATACCTTTTGCCTTGTATAAAACTACAGTTTTCCAAGCACATTCACATGCATTACTGCATTTGATCTTTAGCATCTTAATATGTCAGGATGTGTTCTCTATTTGCAGATGAAAAAACTGAGTCACAGGTAGGTTAAATAATTTGATGAAAGTCACATAGTATTTAGTAAGTTAAAGGACTGAGATTAGAACATAGAGTTGTCTTCTAATTTATTTTCTATAACATAATGCTGTGGAATGTTTTTATAAGATAATGGGACATGGTGTGACAGTAATAGAGAAAACAGGCCCTCATAGAAGCCAGAGAGCTCTGATGAGAAAAAACTCAGGTGATAGCTTAGAAGACAGTGAACTGTCTGTCATCTAGTTAAATACATATTTTTCAGATGAGTTAGAAAGCAAAGGGCAGAGGAGTAAGGTAAACTATCCAGAATTGGAAAATGTAGGGTTTCCAAGAAAAGGGCAAGAGAGATCTTTGAAGAATTTGTACAGAGGACCTAAAATTCAGGTAAGGACCCTGTCGAACCATGTAACAGGTATTATTTTTTATCTAAGTAGTCAAAGACCTACAAGAGCCATGGGAGCTAGAAAACAGGAAAGCATCTCTGCTGACACCCAGAGTCAAGGGTGATGTTTGAGGATCATACTCAGAGATACAACTGGGAAGCAAGTCTGTGCTTCCCAAACTGAGAATCTTACCATCTATACTAAATCTACACTGAACTAGAAGTTTGAGTAAATTTAATCATTTAAAGTCAATTCTTCAAAGGTAAACATTATTTTCTTTAATATATAAGGAACCTGAGACTCAGACAGCATTAATAACTTCCCAGATATTCTATAATTTATAAGTTATAGATCTAGGATTTAAATTTAGAGTTGTTTGCTTAGTCCATGTGATAAGGACAAGGAACTAGAATAGAATGCCAGTAGATGCCACAACAAACCTATCGAGGCTTAAGCTGGTAAAAGAAATCAGTGCTCTATAAACTTGATCACCTTGGAATAGAAATGAAGGCAAAGAATGTGCTAGCTTGAAAAATAAAGGAGACAAATAAATATCAGAGACGGTAACCTAGAAAGCATTCTTTAGTGTTGAGCTTAGAGCTTAAGTACTCCCAGAAACAAAACAAAAATGCACCCTTTTTTGTTTGTTTCTGATAATTACATTTGCTTTAAAACTTGGGATACCACTTGGGAATTTGAGTTTTCTACAATGTAACTGGAATTGTTTGTGCAATATTGCTTTAGAAAAATAATGTTTGCACTAAGGTGTCAGCTTTTCCTGCCCCTTAAAAAAAACCTATTGTAGCTTCACAGTAAGTATAGGAAATTTGTTGAAAAGACATTTGTTGGAAATTAATTTTTAAGTTTCTGTGTTTGTTTTTGGAGGAAAGATTCGAAACGATCTTCAGTTTATTATAGTTATCTCTTGATCTTTCTTTTCCAACTGTATTCTATTTTCCTTGAAATCAGACTCTGTTTTTACTTGCCTCATTTTCTATATGTCTGTTCCTTCTCGCTAAACTTTCTTATTAATTCTACTAAATTGCCTTTTGATGTTTTAGGATTTTCTACATAAAGAAACCTATCACCTGTAATAGTTATTGCTTTATTCATTCCTTTTTAATCTTTGTCTTTTATGTCCTTCTCTTGTTTTAATCAGATTAAGAATGTTCTTCTTTATTCCTAAGTAAATTTTTAAAAATCATCATTGTATATTGACTTGTAATGAATGCTTTTTCTGTAATTATTGATTTTGGACTATTGATTTAACTTCTGTATTGGTTACAGAACAATTAGAACTTTCTATTTCTTCTCGAGTCAGTTTTAGCGATTTATGTTTTTCTTGGAATCTGTCTGTTTCATCAACTTGGCATGAGGTTGTTCTCAATTTTGTTTATGTGTAACTTTTTAAATTTCATCTTTTATTGTTAATCTCTCCTTTTTATTTCTTTTGTATTTACTTAATTTCTGTGCATCTCTGTCATTTCCTTCTTGTACTTTCTTTGGTTTTATTCTATATTCTCTTTTTAACTTAAAAAGTTGAATAGTGAGCTCATTTATTTCTAATTTTTCTTCTTCTTCTAATATATGTATTTAGGGCTATAGGTTTTCTCTAACTATCAATTTTGCTATGTCCTATATGTGTTGATATGCATTAGATTGATTCTCAATAAGTTTTAAGTATTTTAAATGTCCACAATGATTTCTTTCTTTACCTTTAAATATGTAGAAAGTATGGGTTTTTCTAAATTATATTTTTGTTATTGATCTCACTTAATTTTATTCTAGTCAGAGTATATGTTGTACAGTAGCACCACTTGCTGTGGTGATGAAATGTTCTATATCTGTCCTCTCTAATATGGTAGCCTCTAGTCATATGCATCTCTTGAGCATTTGAAGTATGGCTACTGAGAATGAGAACCAAACACTTAACTTTATTTAATTTTAATTAATTTAAACAGCCACATGTAGCCAATACTGCACAGTTCAGGTTTATAGAATACGTATGGTTTAAACTTT